CCCCCCCCCCCCCCCCCCCCGGGATGACGCGCGCCGGAGCGCCGCCTGATTCATGGGACGCAAGAGACTCGAGCAGCGTGCAGACAATCGGGTACCTTCAGCACAAAAAATTAAACGTCGCCGACACGGAACCCCGGTACAGTACCACATCTGCTTGCGACACTGGCACAATAGGATATTTTGCCCTGGCAGGGAACGCGGACCGGGGCTCTCCGGATCGTGTACGTCGGCAATTACTCACCAAAAAGTGATAGTAAGTACTTTCCTCCTCGTTGGCGGAGTCAGCCGACAATGTCGCACTCACTCACAACCTAAAAGCGTAACATCGCACGTGTGATCGATCGTCGACGCTGTCGTAGCGAATACAGGAGTAGAACACATTGACTCAAGGTATGACGCACACAATCGGAGATCGGTCTCGAAAAGTCATCTACGCGTTCTCTATCGTCTGAAATACACGAGAACAACGGTCGACAAGCAACAAGGGGCAGGAGAAGACACACTCTCGGTAATATGCCCTCCCCACCGTTAAATCTGGGAGAGAGGCCAACCGCATTGCCTTTTCCCACCGCTAGATGAGAGGGAGATAGGCGAACAGACATGGCCCTGGGTTTACGCGCGTGGGCCGCCTTGTCGAAATCCTCTCCCGCCCCCGCCCCTGCCCCCCATCCCCTCCCCCCGTCCACCCCCGCGCCCCCGCAGGCTCGGGAAGATCGACATCAGATCCGAGGTGTCCCGCTGATTATCTCGCCGCGGGTGCCGTTGTCCACCCTCCCCTCCACCTCCGAAGCCATCTCCGCCTCCCCTGTCCGATGCCGGGTCCACGGGCGCCCTTATCCTAGCCTCTTCGTTCTTCACTCTAGCAACACCCGCACCTTCCTCCCCACTATCGAAGCCACCACCAACACTGCCACCGCCACGACCGCCCTCTCGCCCCCGACCGCCCCTCCCTCGCCCCATGACACGGCTACCCCCCCCTCGGCTGACCCACCCGCTGCCGCTTCCCCTCCCACCACCACCGACGTTGACGCGCTCCCCTCTAGCTTTCCTGGCCGCTTTCTCCTTATCCCTGCTGCGGCCTCCCGCCTTGATCTTCTCGTCATCAAGCCAGTCCCGGGCGCCGGCCTCGAGGGTCTCCGGGTCGGAGCGGAAGCACAGCTCGTGGGCGTGGTGGGTGAACCAGGCCGAAGGGTTGTGGAGCTCGAGGCGGTCCGGCTTGTCGCAGTAGTCCTTCACGGCTCGCTCCATCACCTTGATGGAGTTGGTTGTATATGCACGGGTGCACGTTGTTTTCGGATCAGGCGGATCGTTTTGCGCGCGAAGATCGGGGGCTGCGTGTGCCCGAGAAGCCACTATTAGTACTGCGCCACGCCAAACAATCGCCAGTTGATATATTTGATACATATGTACTTGTTGTCCGGTCACGCTCTGTAGCGCTCTACTTCGTGATCGTTTTCCTGCGTGTCGGGGTGTGCAGGGCGAGGGTTTTCGTGCGGCGCTTGGGGAGACGTGACAAGGCTGTTTTGATTCCTATAGACGCGAAACAACACTACGTGGTCGGCAACTTGAACCTCATCTCCGGAGATTCTCCCTCACCGCCCTGCCCGGTGGTTGCCCCCGTTCTACGCCTTTGATCTGAAAGACTTTTACCTTTCGAAGCATACTGCTGTCTGATCACATGGGAAATCAAAGCCTCCAACCTCGCCCCTCTCCCAAACCTTAACCTGGCGGCCCCACCGCCCCTGGATATTTTCCGCTCAAGCCCCTGGGTATAACCAATTAATTTCCCTCCGTATGTGTATCTTCAAATTTCCAGGTACAACTGCCCCCGGCTCCCCCCCACACCGGGGTCAATTGTCTAACGACTACGGCACGCTCGACTATGAATACACCCCTCCTCCCTCCCCCCCACCTTCGCCTCCATTTTCTCCAGAACCCCCTGAGCGGCTTCGTCCAGCTCAGTCTTCCCGAGCCTCCCCGCGGTGATGAACTCCCCGAGCACGCGCTGCACGACACTCTTCATGAACTCCTTCTGTTGCCCCCTCTTCTCCTGGATGCGCTCGCCCTTTTTCTCCTGACAAGGGGGGGGGGGGGGGGG